CCAGCGGTCCCCAGCCCCCGTGTGGAGCGGCGCGGAGGCGGCGGCGGCAGTCCTGTGACTCATGCCTGCGTCGAAGCACATCAACCGGCGATTCACGCTTTTAAAAAAGCAAATCCGAGCACTTCTGGAAAAAAAGGTCATCTCGCATTAAATTCCGCTGCGCGATTGGTATTCCGACGTCGTTTCTGGCAGAGTTTATAAGCGGCAGGTCGCTCCCAGGCGAGAGTCGCCCTGCTAACCTGGACTACGGCAATAACAGCTCGCCCCCTCGGTAAGTGTCTTCTAAACAGCATCCTATTTTTTTCCAAGTCATTGGGAACATCTGGAGCAATTTTTCCTCCCCAGATCGGTTTTGCTCGCTGTCGTATGAATAGAGGAATAACGGGGTTTTGATACAGCTACCGCCCTAGACATAGCGTTAACCTGTTACTTCACTTCCAGGCATTGTCTAGAAAATATTTTCTGCTTATGGCTGTTTTCTTTCTCGTCTTAAAAAATTTAAATACCTGTTTTCCATTGAAATCGTTGAACCGTTGCGTTTACAAGCGGGTGTAAATCCACCCAGCAGTGGAAATGAACCGGTAGCTACCGATTTGAAAAAAGCCGCTAACAAAGAAAGCATTCTTTCGTTACCGCGACCTTCATTTTCTTTACAAGGGGAAGAAAACAAATCGCAGGTAACCGTGGGGACAAAGAGACGAGCCGGGCAGTGACCCGACAATTCTCGATCGGCGGCCCTATATTGGTTATCAGAACGCCGTGTCCGCCAGGAAAGAGCTGAACATCTGGCGAGGAGCGAGGGCTGGTCCTGCACCTTCCTTTTCCCAGACAGACATGCCTCTCCTGCCATTTGCGCCGCTAAAGCGAGCGCAGGCACGGGAGATCCCCGCTTAGCGCCAGAGCACATACCGGCCCCGCTTTGCTGAAACATGTGTGTGCAAATACACATGTATGTGGCGCCTGTCACTGGACCTAGGCAAAAAGCACCTTTGTGGTGGCGGGGGTTTATCTGTCAGTCTTTCCTGAACGCTTAACCTGACGTGTGTTTGGCATAGGCGAGAAGCGGGCTCTGTTTGGGATTGTAGGTCGTTGGGGCTGCTGAGTTCGAAGCCCTCTTTGCACGTTGGTCTCCATTTGATGCGAGCCATATAACTGCCCTGCTCAGTGGCCAGCGATATAATTGCTATAGACTTCATGCTCTGCTAAATCCGTCGTTCAGGCGCGGGGGGTAGCGCCCTGGAATCTAGCGAAGGGAAGATTTTGCTCTTCAGTCTGTCGAGGCATTTTCTCGGTTCGGCCGGTCCTGCCGCCGCCTCGGGACCTGCGCGGCTGCCGCCCGCTGTCGTCTGGACGGGACTCGGGTGCTCCAGGAGACTAGACTACTAAATCCGCCTGTTCTTCCTTCCAGCAAATTCCTTGCTGCCCACCCCTCAGAGAAATATCGAGGAAATACGAACTCCGAGGACTGGGACTTTTCTGAAGGGATGGCTTCCTCCGCTCCCTCGTCCTCCAACGATGCTCCGGACCCCACCCCACCTAATTTGCGACCTACAAGTAGGTTTTAATATTTTCCTTGTTTTAAGTGTTTTGAAGGCTTTCTTCATTTAGGGTCACAAAGACCAGTTTCGAAACGAAATGATACATCTGTGAAGCCCTGTTCCGCGCCATTAAGCAAGGTGCGGAAAGTGCTCTACACAAAGAAACCATCTTCCTACTGGGAACAGGAGAGGTCGGTCCGTGGCGAATAAAACGCTGCGAGGAAAAGCCCACCTTACTGGCCAACGTTGTCTTTATCTTAGACACGTTCGAGAGATAGAGACAATCAACTGACCTCCCAGATGAACAAAAAAATCGGGATGTTGGTAGGGGTGTGGAGAAAACGAATCTGTTAAAGGGCGAAGTTACACCAGGGTATTAAAGCGGGTGTCTCCCCGCTACATTTTATAAATGCTAATGCTGCAGCTTCTTTTCAGCCTACGCTGAAGCCTGTAATCAAGAGAAATTTGGATGCTAATTGCAGCTTTTCAGAGCGTTATATTCCTAATTGCTCTGGATTCGCCTTGAGTTATTGAGGTGTGAGTGGGAAGCAAAGGCTGCTGCAGGTGGATAGAGAATCAGCTTATAGCCCTGCCAGGCAGTTCAGACCGTTGCCTACAGAAAAAATAATAATAATTTTTAAAAAGAGGCTCGATGCTTATAAAGCATCAGAGACAAAGAGCGGGTAACAGTAAGAAATGAAAGGTTGTCAGGGACAGCAGAACGGGTAATAGCTTTTACCCTGAAAGAGCTACGAGGCATGAGCATCGGAGTCATTATTGCCATTATTCTGAAACTGGAAAAAACGGGGGAGGGGGCGAACGGCAGCACTGGCTCTTGTTTCAGGCGTGCATGGCAGACACTGCTGCCTTCGACTGAAGTGTCACACACAGAAATCGAATTAATTGGCAACACGGCTAAAACTAAGATAACCGCTGGCAGCAGCACCCCTCCCTGCCCAGACGGGCTCCCCGCCCCCGGGCACTGGCAGCGCCCCTGCCGAGAGAGCTCCTCCGCCCGACCGGGAGCGCCGTGGCGCTTTCCTCTCCCCGAGAGTCGGGCCGCTGTCCTCGGTGTTTGGGTGAGCCGTCCTAGTCCCGGTTCCTCTGAAACCTTCTCCACTCACGCCCCAACGCCAGCTCAGACCCCACCGCCCCCGGTCGCCCTCTGGGGTCCATCGCTGCCGAATTTGCTGCTACCCCGTGCCGCGGGCGACGGACGGGAGAGGTTCCGGGGCAGTGGCTGGGGCAGTGGCTGGCGCACCCTCCACCTCGGTCCTGGGCTTCGATCCCCGCTTCCCGTGGGCTCAGCTGGAGCCGATCGGGGCGTGTCCGAGACACGACTCGAGGGGCTGGGAAGCAGCCGGTTCCCTCTTGAGGGTGCCATCCTAGTAGGGCTGTCGGCGGCCCGTCAGTCCGTCCGAGGCTCAGTGATGCGAGTCCGATCATCTAGTCAAATACTATTTTTCACCCAATTAATTCCTGAACTCTTTTGTGACCCCATTTCACGCCACTTTATTTTAAGCTGCTACTTCCCTGGAGCCCCGCCAGTAAATGATGAGATGTCGGGTCCCGGGTGCCTTCTCCTCTCCCCTGGGCAGGCCAGCATGTCACCTCGCTGTCATCCGAGCCCCAGCTGCCCCGCGCCCAGCAGTTTCTCACGGCGATACAGCCGTGCGGGGAACCGGGGTGGGGCGCGGCGACCGAACAACCCCGCCGCCCCAGGGGAACGACTCTGCTCTCTCTTCCAGCTTACGACTCGTGGTGCGGCGTGGCTCACGGGTGCACCAGGAAGATCGGGCTGAAGATATGCGGTAAGCGCGGCCGTGCCCCCCCGTAGGACACCCCTCACCCCAC